CCTAAGATTGGGAGTGAGCCATTTGTATTAAAAAAGCAGTGGACGGTGAAGTCAGGGCAATAAATCAAGAAAAAGAAATGAAAACTGTCTGGATTGGAAAATAAGAAGTGAAATGCTTTGTTGAAATTCTGATTATCAATGTAGAAGATCCTTTATTCAAAAATTTTAGAGTTAATAACTGAGTTCAGCAAACCTGCAAGATATAATTTGTATAGAATTTTGGCTGTATTTTATTCTGGTTTTCTTTTTAAAACACCATCAGAGCAGGAAACTTCCTCACACTTCTTTTGGTTTCATCATGAGCATCTAACTTTTCTGATTAAATTTTCTTACTGTGTGTGTCACAGCACTCTCGTTTTCCTGTATAGTCTGCTAAGATGTTAATTTTGTTTCTTGGGGATTTTCTAATTTCTAAGACTACCTTGTCGATACATTACAATGCCTAGCTTTGTGCCAACCTCAGAGGCACAGAAAACATTCAGTAAATATATAAACTATGATTTAGTAAATCACTAAGTATCTGTTTTAAAAGAGTGTAACTCAGTGATAGAGTGCATGCTGAGCATGAGTGAGGACCTGGATATCACTGGCAAATAACTTTTGGAAAGTTTATTAGCCAACTTTTTGACAGAATAACAAAATACCTGATACAGGACACTTGTGAAGAAAAAAGATTTTGGTAGCTCACAGTTCTGGAGGCTCAAAGTCTAAGCTTAATAGCACAGACTTTGGGGTAAGGGATGCCCCTTGGCTGTATGCAGATGGTGGGTGGCATGGTGAGAGCAGGTGTTTGAGCAGGTAGTCACATCTCAGGCTAGGAAGCAGAGCAAGCTGGGTGTGCCAGGCTCAAGCTTTTGTAACCACCCTCTCATGAATTACCAAATGGCCCCCACCAGAACTGCCTCACACCTCCAATGAACTAATACCTCCCTCTACAACCTCTCCTAAAGGTTCCACCACTTCTCATCAGCTCCCCTTGGGGACCAACTTTCCAATACTTGATCCTATGGGGAGGACACAAACCATAGCTAACTACAGCACACTGCAACTTTAAAACCTTCTTCAATGGCAAATTTGTCATGTTTTTCTCTTGTGATTCATGCATCATGCTGGGTTCCTGAGGTGTAAAGATGAATGAAACAACTTCTCTTAAAGTGTCCCCAGTAATTTTAACTGTGACATGCATATGAAGCCAAAGAGATACTTAATATAGAAAATATAGATGATAAAGACTCACCTGTTAGAAAAAAGTTTCAAATTAGTTTTATACTATCAAAACCTTGTAATATACAAATCTATATAAATCTGTATATGTACAGATTTACCAATTCTGTGATTATGTAAAGTTAATTAGAAATAGTGTTTATAAATACCTAGTTGATAAGAGAAAAAGAAAAGAAACCAGAATGAATTTTAGCAGCACCTACTAGGGCCTTTGAAAACCTATATGCAGCTGGGCCTGATGGTACATGCCTATAACCTAGCACTTGGGAGTTGGGGTAAGAGTATCACAAGTTCAAGGCTAGCCTGGTCTACATAGGGAGACCCTCTGTCAGAAAGCCAAATCCTAACTAAACCAAAATTAAAAAATACACAAAAAAATCACAAGACAAACAAACATACAAACAAAAACCAGACCAAAACAAACACAAAGCCCCATGTGTGTGTTTTAGTCAGGTAGTTAGACCCTGTCTTGCTACAGCCCTCCTTCTCCATCCAGGAAGTATTCTCACCTCCTTTTCTAGTGATTTCCATTAGGTCTTGTTGGAAATTATCTATTTGGAAACTGGTATTTTTGTTTGTTGTTTTCAGGGGATCGTGCCAACGAGAACTGTTTTAGAGATTTTATTACCAGGGAAAGACATACCTAATTTTCAGAATCTGAAATGAAAAACAGACCAGGCCACCAATGTCTGGTAATTTAGCATGGGAAAGTCAAATGTTTTGAGCCAAAACAGAGAGAGACTATGAGGCCCAATTATTATTATTTTTGTACAAAGAATTCCATTTAAACAGATTGGTTTTAAGCATCCCATTTAATTTCCTCAAAAATCTTCATAAAATTCAACTGATACCTATTATTTAATTTTATTTCTTTTTCTGTAGAAGACAGATGGACTTTTAAAATACAGCATTCCCCATTCCCCCTTATCCACAGGGGACATGTTACCCAGTGCATGCCTTAAACTATAATAGCACCAAGCCCTATCTGTAGTTTGTGTTTTCCTATTCACATATACCTACGATGGAGTTTAATTTATAAATTAGGCACAATAAGAGATTAACAACCATAATAAAACCATAACAATATAGTGTAGTAAAAGTCATGTGAATGTGGTTTTTCTCTCTTGTCAAAGACAAACACTAGTATTTTTCACAACAGACAGCAAACTTGAAAGTGGAACTTGGATATGGGGGTGATATTATATAAGTCCCATTCTTCTACATCTTTTAAATATCAAGGTACAGGTAAATAGTCTATGTTTTCCTCAAGTTACTAAAAGTTATCAATAAAAAAAATAAAATAAATATCAAGGAACCAGTCACAAGTACAAAAGATAAAAAAGACAAAGACATGTCATAAGAATTTGGAATGTTAACCACATATTCTAGCTGGTATTCTAAATACACATACCTGTTTCTTTTAGCTTCACTCTAGTGTTGACATTCCAATCTCATTCAATGTACCCCCAAAAAACATACTTATTGTGAATCCAATATGTGTTTACCTATTATTTTATATAGATGTATATTTATATAAAATGTGCACTATATGGTTACTAACAATTTATGTAAATGGCGTCTTCCTTCTACAACTTGCCTTTGTCACGCAACATGTTTTTCAGCCTACCAGTATGGGTAGATAGACAGGTTTAGTAGTTAGTAACTCTAAGTACAAATAGATCAGAATAAAATAAGGTATGGTAGCTCAGAGGCAATGCCGTACTGTTAATGCCAAAACTTATCGGAATTATACCTTCCTGTAGTAGTAGGAAGTTCCAGCAATCTGGATGCCAGCCTCATTGGGTTGCAACTTCTACCTCATGTAGTACTGGCTCTGGACACAAGATGGCAGAATTTCTTTGGTACAAATGAAGTGGTCATTTCAGATAAGGTGAGGCAAAGGTCACCTAGAAAAATTGAAACATGAGACCCTGGCCATACTAGACAAGGGAGTTAGGCACTAACTTTGTAAGGTGAGCAAACAAGGTAGAGGTTCACAACTGCTTGTAGAATAACTTAACCAATAAGTTGCTTGTTTCAGAATCATTTTGGAAAGCTTCTTCTTCCCCCCCTCACCCCCACCCCGCCCAGTAAGCTACAGGCATTTCTGGTAGCAGAAACTATACAATGGGAATACTTTTTCTTCATTTTTATTCTGCAATTGCTTTATTTCACATTTAAAATTTTGCATGTAATTTGGCAATCTTAATGAAAGAGTCATTCAAGACTATCCAATATACAATTCTAAAATATATTTAAAGAAAAAAGTTCCTGCACCATGTCAATTTATTCAAAAGTTGTCATTACAATCTAATAATTTTTCAAGCTAAATTTAAAATGGCTGTAAGAAGTTAAAACCAAATATTTCTATTAGCACTTTAATGCTGAAACAGGGACTCAGTGTTACTTTTCATATGAAGGAACCAAATGTAATTGGATGGGGTGGGGGAGAGAGTGGCTCTTACAAGGTACTTTCCAATCTATAGACATTCTTTCTCCCAAGTAACATACAATAATAGCTAATATTTTATAGTGTTTGCCATGTACAAGACACGAACATATTCACAGATTTTTAACTAATTTGAGCCACACACTAGCCCCGAGAGGTAGTTACTAGCATTAACCCCACTTAAAGAAGAGTGTGAACTGGAAGGCTTGGGACCTTGTTCACAGTCACACAATAAAGAGGAAGCTGAGGGGACAGTCACACCATGCGGCTGGCCTTGGAGTCTGTGCCCCCAAGTAGAATTCTTTTTCTGGACCACAGCAAACAATGTAATGTCAAGTGGAATGCGTGAAATGCACATTTAAGCAGGGATCCTAGTGTGTTAAGAGTTTAGAAGTCATGGCAATGAACATTGAACTAGCAGTTCTACTTCTCTGTTCTTAAAGAACCCCATGTCTGTCATTTTCCTTTGTCTAACTGGAAACCACCAGTTCAAACAGGACTGAAGGCTAGTCCTGGTGGTACACTCCTGTAATCCCAGCACTCAGGAGGCTGAGGCAAGAGGATCTCAAGTTTGAAGCCTGCCTGGGCTATATAGTGAGACCTTGTTTTAAACAATAAAAACAACAACAAAGAAAACCCCAACATCTTGTGATTTTAGATGTGTATTTCAGGAGGGAAAAATTGCATGATCAAATGAGTGTCGGTCCCATTGGTTGTCCCTGGTGAGCTAGAATCTTGCTTTCATGACTTTGGAATTTCCCCTAAACTTGGAACAATGCACATGTCTACAGGCATGTGCTTATGTGTGTGCATTTGAGCATGTATGTATTATGCACATATTCTTATGGTGGAAAACTTGTTCTCTGAGAATGAATCTGAGAATGATCATCTGGAGATGATCAAAAGTATTTTGAGCTAAACGGGTGAGTGGTGTTAGAGGCAAGCAATATAAATTTGAAGTAAGGGTAAGTTTTTCCTAAAAATAATGAGATGACCTTTTTCACGTAAGTGTTACCAGCCATGTCACTTATGTCCTCTAGCAAAGGATCCAGATTCTTTGAATTTTAATTCCATAAGGTGAGTCTTTGTCTCCCTTCCTCCCTCCACAGGGTATTTCTTTTTGCTCCTTTTCGTTCATAAATTTGGAAGTAACTTCTTGTGTATGAACTCCATACTGTTTCTAACTTATGCGACACCAAGTGGACAATGGTAAAAGTCATCCCTTCAGATGTAATGCCACAAGAATGCAGACATTTCCTTCAAGTCCTGCCTTCATCAACAGTCCATCAGGAGAATTTTTCATTTGTGTACTTGACTGAAACCCAGGTTCCCTTCATTCTCACATTTGTGGGGAAAACAGTCATTTACCCACTCCAACCGTGGTGGAGATCTGTTGTGTGAAAATGAGATCTGTCTTCTGCAAGATGCTTCTTGTCCCCAGAGGAGTTCTCCTAAGCACTGCTGCCTGTCAGAGTTCAGAAAAAGCGGTGCACAGAGCTCCAGCCAGGATGATGCAGAACGCCAGCATCATTAGTAAGTAGTTCCGCAGACCCTGGATAATGACAAGGGTAACTAGTAACACAACGGACCCAGATGCACAGAAAGCAGCAGATACTTTCAAGATTGCCCGGGACCTTTCTAACCATTTGCTGGAGTCACTTGTGTGCTTTTGCTGCCCCCTCCTGGTAATGATCGGATTCTCTTAAATCCTGCACAAGTCTGCTCCACCCATCCAGCACCCATGATGTGTGCCCTTATACAGGTGACCACGTAATAGGAGAGACAACAAAGAATCACGAAATCGCAGAACAGAATGCTGCATGAGAGGTATGTTAACAAGCAAACCAGAGTGACTGTGTGCAAATGTGTTACAGCACTTCAATGAAGCTGGGGGAGGGGAGCTGAGCTGGTAGCTGCAGGTACCTATGCACTGCCTGGGGAAACGGGGTGGTAAACAGGTTCTAGGTGGAAGGAATTTTATGTGTAAAGCCTTCTTCTAAGAGAAAGCACGGTATTTCGTACTTTGAAGGGCCATGTGAAGGGAGAGAGGAGAGGTAAGTGGCAGAAGATGAAGAGAGAGGGCCTTAGGGCCTTGTATGCTTTGGAGTTCTATTTTTTCAAGCAATGGGAAAGCATTAAAGGAATGGGAAGCTGCATGTGCTGAAAAGTTCATCTTGGAATTTGGGAAAGCCTACACTTCTCTGCAAGATTTTAGAATGGCTCCAAGACCGATAAGGAGGCCACCGAGGCCCTCCAGGGGAAAGATGTCCAAACGTAGATGGAGATGTAGAGAAGGATCTGAAGGGAGAAGGAAGGAACACAGGGGGATATGTGAGGAATGACTAAGATTTCCTTTACCAGCTGTGCATGGGGCGGCAGTGTTAAGGGTGAAAAACACTGAACACCACATCCCAGTGTAGCCTGGTTCATCATCGGATCAACAAAAAAGTATCTTCCTACACAGAAATATTTCATTTCCTATAAGATCTATCTGTAGAGGTACAGGTGGATTGATTTTAATATCTCTCACAAGATTAAACCCTCAAACATTGAAAAATAACTATCTTATATCTCCAGAGGTATGTCTTCTCCTGGTCAATATTTTGGCTCCTTTGGCAATGTTTCACTTGGAATGGTTTCAGACTCCCTCATGGTCCTGGCTGCTCCCCTCTGGATGACTGGAAGTTGGTGTCTATCCCTCTATAGAGATAGACTCCAATACCTTCAGGTGAGTTTTGAACATCCCCAAGTAAAACAGGACCCATGTCCTCATGTTAGATACATGGTCTCAGATCTTCTTTCTAATAATCAAATCATAGAATGCTATTAGCTTTTTTTTTGAAGGACAAATAAGTATGATTTAATACAAGTCATGTAGTGGACGCACAAGGATTCTGGGAGGATACCTGGGGGTGGAAGAGGTAGCTCCAGAGCAGTGTGCATCCTGCTTGCTCCACACTTGTGGGGAAAGGGCTAGTAGCTTTCCTCTCGAGCTAACCCTGGCCACGGGGCTCTGCCAGGTTAACAGCCTCAAACTACCCAGATCTGTGCAAACTTTGGGGAAGGCTATGGAAACGGGACGTGTGTCCCTGGAGAAGAACTGACTGGTTTGTTAGGTGGAGAGGATTGTAAAAGCAGTACCCTGGGCTCTGTCAGGGGTCGATCCTCAGGCCTGAGCTGGGCCAAGGAACCAATAGAACATGTACCCAAACGCGGGCTCCTCCAGTCCCTTACAAATACAAGGTGTGTGTGTGTGGTGGTGGGGGGTGTTTCCTGTCCTTATTGCCCTCGGCGAGGTCTGCTGTGAGGGGTAGCTCTACTGGGACAGGGAGGACAGGGCGGGCTGACAGTAAGTGCACATGGCAGCCCTCCTGGCTGGCCACATGAACCTCGCTGCAGCGACTGTCGTCTGGGCTCCTCTGCCCCCTCCCTCACACACCCTTAGGCCTCTTGTCCAGGTTACTGAAAAATCGTCAAGTGTGTTACAAACACAGAGAGAGCGGAAACGGGGAGCAGGGTGAGGAACGCAGCCCCTTCTTCATGGTAACAGCGCTCATCAGGACTAATGACACAATACACAACCAAACACCAAAAGCACCTTCGCTCTATTTGCATATGAATAAAGAACTGGGCTGCAGAAGGCTAATTCGTCTCTCTCTAAGAGACTGATTCTATGTGAGCCTCAGCACCACCAGGGCCAGCCTCGCCTTCTACCAGGAAGCCTCGCCAGGTACCCAGCATCCTATTTAAACACAGGTGCGCGCGCATATACACGCACACGCACGTACGCACACGCATGCACGCGCAGTACGCACAGGCGCCGCACAGGCGCACGAAGCGCACGCATGCGCAGAGCCCCGCACGAGGGCCCTGGATTGCCCAGCATCTTTTTCTTAGCATTTAAGTTTTCAACCATCACCTAGACACTAGCAGCAGTGCAGAACAGGCAGGCAATGAATATTTGTTCAGAGAATGAATATACTCAGGTGATTTCAAAACGTACTTTATGAATTAGAAAGTGAATTGTAAACTGATGTAATTACTTAAAAATGGGGCTTTGATTATAAGCACTCTACAACCTAATTATGTGAGTGCTTTGTAAGCTCTACTTTATTATCTACACAGCAGAAAGTAATGTTCTCACGGAGGCAAAAGAAATTTTTCTCCATCAAGGTTTAAGAATCTGCCTAAACTGCCTGTCTCTTAAGAGAAAAAGACTAATTATATTTGGTTAAAAGCAATAGTTTTCTTGTACATACCTGTATTTCCTTAAAAACGAAGACACCCCACAGTGCAGCTATAAATCCTGGACCCTTAAAAAAAAAAACGAAGAATTTTAAGTTGGCCATTTTCATATAAATGTACTCTGTGTAAGCACAGTAAGCTACAGACAAGATAAACATTATTTGGCCTGACCAATTTTTTTTTTTGAATGTTACTATTGTGGAGCCATCAAGTATGTCTAACATTAAACACAAATGGGTGCTAAAAGTAGCTATATGGAAACATTAAAAACTTGTATAAGTTTTTTTGCTAGGTGCTGATGGCTCACGCCTGTAATCCTAGCTATTCAGGAGGCAGCGATCAGGAGGATCGTGGTTTGAAGCCAGCCCAGGCAAATAGTTCCGTGAGACCCTGTCTCGAAAATACCCATCCCAAAAATGGGCTGGGGGAGTGGCTCAAGGTGAAGGCCCTGAGTTCAAGCCCCAGCACCACAAAAAACAAAAACAAAACGAATAAACAAAAAAAACAAACTTGTGTAAGATAAAAAACAAAACAAAACAGGAGTTATTGGAGACAAAGACAGCACGGAATAATATAGAACAAAGGAAATGAGAAGAAACAAGATGAAGAGAAGGAATAATTCTGCAATTTGAAAACTTGTTCAAGTTTGGTGTTAATTTTTTTTACCAACAGGGAAAAAAGAAGTGGAATTTGGGTTAACTGTGGCCTTTGTGGAAAAGGCGTGTGGTATCAGCATTTTTGTGATTCTCCTTCAAGCTCTGCAGGAACTCTAGACCTCTAGACAAGTTTCAAGTAAACAACTCCAAAATGTTCCCTCACCACTACTCTTAACTATCTACATGGCTGCATCAACAAAGTTTCCTTCCATGCCTGGCATGGAAGTGAAGCAATAAAAATATTTTACTGTTTATCAGCATCTGCAAAGCCAACATCAAAGGGGCCAGAGAGATAGGTCAAAGGAACTGCTTTTGATCAATGACATAAAGTCCTGAGCCTCAAAATCCAAATCAAACGAGAAGCATATGGGTTTTTCAGGCACCCCAACGCTGACTTAAGATGGGACGGAAGAGACAACAGAAGAAGAAATATAATAATACTGTTAAGTCAGTTGCTCAGCAATCTTTATTCCTTTTACTCCAAAAATTCATTTCCCTTCAGAGAACATGGTAGAAGGCAATGCAATAAGGAATCATTGCACTTTCTTTTTTGTTTGTTTATTTATTCATTTATTCATATGTGCATACATTGTTTGGGACATCTTTCCTCCCTGCCCCCATCCCCTTCCTCCCCCCCCCGCCACCCTCCTATCATTGCACTTTCACGCTTTCTGTCTGATGGTTTTCTAAATACTAGATTTTAGACACAGGCCCATGTATTGCTATGAGGAGTGATGTGGTTATAGTGGTGCTGAGAGTAATGCAAGAAGAGGCAAAGGAGGCTAAGTAGGAAGATATCTTACTGGAGGAAGAACTGTTTTGGCAATTGGGATTGTATATTTTCCTTTTGTGAAGAAAAACAAATTACGTGTAGATCAGCCTTTGAAACAGAGGTGGGCTTGATCCTAGCTTAAGAATCTGAGCCTTCTAGATGAGCTGATTCAGCTTTTAGAATTATCAAAGAAATCAGGGAGCATGGATAACAGGTCCTGGCTCTTGCCACCTGGTTTTTTCCCCTCTCTTCTCCTTTTGAGAACTTTGGATCTAAATAAATTCCTTGTAAACTTGTTAGATTTTGACACTTGTGCAAAGATTTGGACTTTTTTTCCAGCAGGAATTTAAAAGGTAAAACTGTGAGCTCTTTAAATGAGAAAATTTTTATTAGAATTTATTAGCATTTGAAGGTTATTTTACGAACACAGAACTGTCAAGAATGTATAATTTGAGCTGATGGTGTGGTATATGCTTATAATCCTAGTACTTGGGAGGCCTAAGTAAGAGGATCTCAAGTTCAAGGCTGGCTTGGGATCCGTAGTGAGACCCTGTCTCAAAAGTATTAAAAACAAACAAAAATACTCTGTTTGAAATGCAGACCTTATATTAAACCTTGATGCTGCTTTACTCTATAGCATATTAAAAATACCATTCTTCTAGTTTTGTTCAGGTGTGATTCTAACATGCTTTAAGCAAACTCTGTTTGTGCTGATAATTTAGGAAGCAGGGGATGCAAGTGAAGAACTGGTCAGTACCAGTTCTAGGGGAGACAAAGAGCTCAGTATTGAGGCAATTCCTGTGAATATATCAGTTTTAGTACCATGATGGGCCTGAAAACAAAACAAAACAAAACAAAAACGCTAAATCAGATTCCAGGCTGATGGCAGGAAGTTGCACTGTGTCCTGGAAATTGTGTTCTCAGAAATCTTCCTGTTTCTGCTAGCTAAGTGACTAGCTGATTGGGTGACTAGGTGATGAGGTGATACTCTTTGCTGTGGCCTCATTTTTTCACCTTCGTAATGGGGATAATTCTATCTATACTTATGCTACCTATGTCAAATGAAATCTTTTTTTGTTACTTAACTATGCTTTAAGTAAATGATGCCTAAAAAACCAGATGAAGCAAATTACATTGTGTGTGGCATGATAAATGGCATCATTCAGAAGCAACACTGTTCTGAGTTTTCCTTAACAGCAGCAAGACACTGTGCAAAAGAATCTGAACAGGAGTTTCAAGGCTGTCACAAGCTTCAAGTGTGATGATGTCTGTCTATCTATCATCTATCTGTCTATCATCTATCTATCTATCATCTACCTATCCGTTATCTATCCATCCATCCGTCTGTCTATCATCTATCTGTCTATCTATCTATGTACATTTATCTATCTATCATCTATTTATCTAAGACGGTCTATCTATCTGTCTGTCTGTCTATCTATCATCTATCTATCCATCATCTGTCTATCATCTATTTGTCTATAAAACCATTTGTTATATTTATAAACTGTTAGGCAAACCAAAGATTGATATGGTTGACATAAGGTAAGATGATCTAATTAAAACCCACAAGGAAATTAAAGATTAAGTATCAGCACATCTGTTAAAATGACGTTTTATAATCGTATATAATCCTAGCTACTCAGGAAGCAGAGATCAAGAGGATCACAGTTCAAAGCCAGCCTGGGCAAATTGATCGAGAGACTGTATCCCGAAAAAACCCATCACTAAAAGGGCTGGTGGAGTGGCTCAAGGTGTAGGCCCTTAGTTTAAACCCCAGTACTGCAAAATAAATAAATAAATAAATAAATAAGATAAATAAATGTTCCCTAACAGTCAAGGACATGAAGATTGGTGAGTGGCAGTCAATTGAGCAGTATCTTTTATTTTTGCTCCTATAAATGTCAAATGTCATAAAAATCTTTAGTGGTTCACTAGGAACACTTCAGAAAAATGAGATTTAAATTTGCAAAGCAAAAACTTGGAGAAACAATTTGGTTACTTACAGCAGTGATGATTGGAAAACTGACCACGGCACTGAGTGAGTGATTAGCTATGAACCAACAGCAAGTGGCTATTGCCCAAAGCACTCCTGACAGGAACCCTGGAACACATACAGACAGTTCACACTGCAAGTCAGGCTCTGCTCCTGCAAAAGTCACCCTCCCGACATGACTGACAGAGTATCACAGTGCACGTTAAATGTGTTCCTGCCAATACTGTTGGCCAATAAGAATTTTAAAGCTATGTTTATGGTCACTTTAGAAACCAAACAATCTCTCTGTTCCTGGCTGCTATGTGTATAATGATCAATCCTTTCCCTTTATTGGCATTAAATAAAGTATCCAAAGTTGTCATTGAGGTAGAGATCAGATCCGAACATTTTTTGCAGACAGCATTTATACTAAGCCATAAACATCAAAAGAAATGTGAGAATGGTGCTAGCACTAAGGGGAAAATCCTAGCATACACTTCACACAACTCCAGCTGGATATTCAGTGAATGAATATTCTGCCATTTTCCAGAAGAGATACTTCAGCATAAATCAAGCATGCTTTCAGAATGAATCTCTAACTGATGCCTTGTTTTTTAAAAAAAAATGTTACTTGTGGTCTTATATTCCAAATTGAAGTAAAGTAATCATCTAAGGAGAAACTATTATTGTTACTTTAACAACCAGTGCTTAATGAGTCAAGACCAAAACCCTGTGTATTTAGCATGCACTTTCCTTGAACTCTAACAACAATCTCTCCTCTGTTTTTGATAAGCTGTTTTCTCAAGTGATTGCAGGTTCCTCTTTGTTGATACTTGTTTTAGAGTCATGGGACCCTGACTTTTAATAGGAATCCTTAGATGGTGAAAAAGAAATAGCAGAGTGATGACCAAAACAAAAGATGTCCTGGCACAAGATAAAAACATAATATTGTTCAGTAAGTTTTAGGTTTTGTAGTAATGACCAGCAGTTCAGATCTAGTCCATCATTTCTCAGTATTTCATATCTGGTGCTAAATTGGACCAAAGAATTTAAGTGAATGAACACACACACACACACACACACACACACACAGACACACACCAAGACATACACACACAGACACACATGCAACACACACACACTTGGTTTTCAGAAGACAATTATTCAAGCTAAGTGAGTTGAGGTTGATATTTTTACATATTCTATGTTAATATTCTTACCTGGCAGGACTGCCTTAGGATATAGTCTAGGACTATTTTTCATGACTATACAGTAGGCCAGAAAGTAGACTGTACTCATAAGAAAGATGCCGCTGAAGTGTGCGAAAACATAGTCTAAATCTGAAAAATACAGATTATGAAATTCTCAAACATCATTTTAAACATCCCAAGTATACCTAGAGTTCTGAAAAGAAAACAAACTCTTAAAAATCAACTTTAAAAGTTAATCATCCTAGTTTTCTACATGCTGTTTTACAGAATTTTAATCAGCAGATTTAAAATCTAGACATGTTAAGTAGTAAATGAGTTACTGTAATTGAATGTAAAAGGCTAGTTTTAGGAGCATCTTGGCAAGCTAAGAACATTATATGACTGTGCTGTTCACATCTCCCTTTTAAGAATAGGCATCCAGACCTAATTGTACTAGTGAGCATGGTAACCTGAACTGGAGATGTGGATAACAAGCCTGGTGTGTTCATGCCTGGAGACCAGTCCTAGAATTATTTTTGAGAAAACTGGAATAAAGTGTGTGGCCATCAGAATACATTCAGATACATCCAGAGTTGCTGTAAGAACAGTCTCTAAGAGCTCCCTGTCCTGTTCATGGACAGAGATTGTTGTCAGTATTGTTTATTATGTCCCTGTACCAAGAACAGCTTTACCCTGAAAAAATTAGTTGTTTTTACCTTGTGCCCACTGAATCCTGAAACAGGTTTATTTTCCTTGTAACTACAGGAAATCTGAAAGTCAGATTTATAGCTCATTTCTAGCATGTCTGACTCCTTGTATTTCCTCCCTCTTGATTTTCCTTCTCTGTTTATCCTATGTTATCCCACTTTTATTAGTTTTTATCCTTTAAAAATGAAAAGAATAAAAATACAAAAAAGGATTTGTATAAAATCTCAACAAAGAAAGAAGGCAAAGGTTTGAGGGCTAAGCATGAACTATGCAAAGGTGAAAGGGAACAAGGACATCTTCTCAAGTTTATCCACTCTGTTGCACTCAAGTTCAACTCTCAACTTCTTTTCCCTCCCTCCCTCCCTCCCCCCCCACTTTCTTTTTCTGAGGTGAGTTATCACTATGTAGTTCTGCTATGCACCCTAGGTTGGCCTCAAACTCACAATCCTCCTTCTTTGTCAACTTCTTTATGAGACTTCCCCTCATGGTCTTTGCTTTTTATTGTTTTTTTTAAGTGGTACTGGGGTTTGAACTTGGGCTTCATGCTTGCTAAGCATGTGCTCTCAAACGTCTACTTCATCTGAGCACAGATCATGTTAATTTTCTTACCATATGATGTAGAACTTTCTTTTTTTCCATGATCTTATTCCCTTATCACTTCAGGGGTGTAAGCCATGTTTCAACATAATTATAGCACCCCCAAAGCAGACTGTCTCTCGTCTCCTAAGGAACCTGTCTGAGGCAGTTGCGTATAGTTGTTGAGTTTCCTCTGAGAGATCAATTTTACTGCTGGACACTGAGATGCTATCAGGAAGCATTGTGTTGACTCTTTCAATGCACCACTCTGCACTTGAAAAACAGTATCCTCTGACTAAACAGGCTATGCTTTTTGACCTTTACTTGATTTGAAAGAATCACATTCTACACTTTAGCTTTTCTTTAAAAAGTAGAAGAATACATATTTTCCCAGAGATCATCCAACTGGCAAATAATCTTACTGGAAAGCCAAAAACCTTGTGGTAAGATCTCAGCAGTTGAAATGAATCCTGACTACAGATGATGCTTTTGTATGTCAAAGATCACAAGAAAATACTCAAAACAGTTCTTTATTACTTTTCGTCTTTAGTGTCTTTCTAATTCGCCAGGTACAAATGAAAAAGTAAGATCAAAAGTATATACCGATATTTTCTCTATCACAATTGTATGTGGATTCAGAGAAGAGTGGGTATTAATGACTTTGCTTACAAAGTAAAAGACTTTTATCTCTCACCATATTGGCTGGCTCCTGCATACATGCTGTCATTTCTTCTCCCATGGTCCTTGATGTAAATGATCGGCACAAATGTAGACCCATAGAGAATTCCAGATATCACAGCAAGGCTGCAGCCCCTTCAGAAACAAAAGCAGATCAGTATAAATTTCAGCCCAAAGCAGCATTTCTAAGAAACACACAGATGGATCCTAACTAGAGCCTGCTTCAGAATGAGACCAAGAGTGGCTCCTGCCGAGTTGCCCATGCAACTCTATCTCAGATCCTTGAGTTGTGTGAGGATTGTGTCCCAAACACAAGACCCAAACCAGGCCTGGCTAATTATAAGACAACAGAAAGTGTTTTTCTTAGCAAGTATTTCCTTAATGGATATACTTTATAGAAAAAAAAGTTTGAAAATATTTGAGAAAATCTTTGGCTTGAAAAATTAGTTTCATCCTGAGGGCAAAAATAGCAGCATACTTATTTTTTTTCCAGAGCTTGCTTATTTGTATATTTTCATTTATTTAATTTATTTCACTACTTATTGAGCCACTTCTTTCCACTGTGAAGATAGTGTATATACCATCAAAAGAAAATCTTTAGGCTGGGAGGGTAGCTTAGTGATAGGGCAGGGAGCCCTGGCCTGATCCCCACAAATAAAAAACAACCACCTCCCCCAATAACTTTATATTCTTGCATCCAAAGAAGGTGTCACTACGCACAGAGTTGAAAATAGGTGGGAGTTATAAAACACAAGCTGTACACTATTACATATTTTCATGTATCTTTGGCAGTCCAGACCAAAAAAAAAAAAAAAAACCTATAAAATCCAGCACCCTAAAATAAATAAACAGGCGGGTGTTGAGTCTGGCTGTCAGCGTCCTCATGATGGACACAGTGGGGGCAGGACTGACAGGGCCACTCCTCTGGGGTGATAAAGCCCTCTACCCATAAGAGTAGGGTGAGCATTCCAGGCTGAGGGCAGAAGAGCAGTGACAGGCCTTATGCACTCTGATGGTTTAGGACATGTCAGTGTTTATAGGGCCTCTTTACTTCTGGTGCAAAGTCCTGCAGAGTGAGGCTGCTTTTGTCAATTGCTTGTTGATCAGACACTCCATGGAGTAGCTAAACTTAAAGATTGACCTATGTCCCTAAAATTCAGTAGGGGACACAAAGCACCTTGCCCCACTGAGATAGAAACCAAAGCTGTGTTTTCATTTTCCTCCCCTCAGGTGAGTTATCACTTCACTCTGGCCATCCTGCATTACCAAATGTTAAACAGAGCAAGGAGAAAGAAGTCCCCTCCCCTTACACTATGCGGTGGTGGGCCGGGGAAAGCCTGTCCACCCAGGAGCAGCCGGCACAGGGGTCTGGTGCTGTGTTGATCTCCTGCAACGTTGGCACAAACCAAAACACAAAGGACTGTCAGCTGATAGTCGTGCTGTGACACAAACATTTTCACTGTTTACTCTACTGAACAGGCCTTAAAACACTCCTGTGTCACCCCTGCCCTCTGGTGCTTTTCTGATTCTGCCCTCTTTCCTTCAGAGTGCTCTAGCAGTTGGCAAATTCTTCACTTAAAATTTTCACAGTTTAACATGTGGCTATTTTGATATACCTGTCAAAACTCACAAAAGTTATTAACTCATGCTGTTCTTTAGAATATTTTAATAAACTGTAAAGAAATTGGAGGCAAGAAAACCTCAGACTTTCCTACTGTGAAATGCCTGAAATCAGAAAGCAGTTTTCATATTGATTTTTAAAACTGAAATACGCTGATTTTTTTTTTTTTACTGAATTAGTTAAGAAACCAGTTCCAGGATGTTTTAAGAATAGGCTAGTATCTAAGTCAGGAATATTCATGGACAAATTTATAGAATTTTTGTTATTAAATGCTATGTTTCATGCTTCTTGGCTGAAGTGTCCTAAGTGTTGTACTCCTGCTGCTTTTGTAGGAGACAAGAAACTAGACTTGGACTCTCTGTCCTGTGCTAACTCAGGTGTCCCTCTGTCAATGACGCCTTCCTTCACTATCAGGAGCCCATGACGTGTGGCTGCACATTAACCAGCTACGTGGTTTATGTCCCTTTAGGTTTAGCTTGCTCTTATCTTTTTACCTTGCCTGGAAAAAATCTAAAGTAATAGCCTACCATTTGTATTTGTTTTATTGGATGACTTTGTTCCTTTCTTTGTTGGTTAGGAGACATCTAGCCACAAGCAACACCAGCATCCACCCAGCCCACCCAGAGATGCCCACAGATTAATAAACCTCTTTTCTCTTAAGCTTAAGCAAATCCTTATTCTACTCCAGTGTCAACTTAATTAGTCCCTGTCATCTTAATCAACCAATTTTTTTTTTATTTTTCGACCAAAGTTTTGATGGGGAAGAAAGAAAGAAGATTAATTTGGATGTGGAGTGGAGGTGGCTTGGTGCAGGGAGGTGGAGGAGACCTGACACGGGAAGCACTAGTGTCAGTCAGGGTCACAGTCACACGTTTGCCCTGACGGACACCTGTGTGGGTCAGGTGCTTAAAGGTTGTCCCTATCTAGCTCAGAGTTGCTACTCCAGACTAATTTAGATTCCTTGAGCTCTTCTTACCTATTTTCTGTCTTTATTTTAAGAAGAACAGGATAATGGTGGAAACGCTTAGAGAAACAGGAGGAAAGACAAGTCCAATTCTGAGTCTGCCGAGGCTCTCTGAGCCAGCCCCTGGTTGATCTGCTCCTTCCCCAGTCTCCTTCCCACCTCCAGCCTCCTTTCTCCTCTCCATGGCTGCTTCCACCTCCTATGTGGAATGCAGGGCTCCCTTGTATAAATCCCTACACCATCCTAGAGTTGGGGTTGAGCTCATCCATCTCCTGGAAGGGACCTTCTCCCCACAGCGTAAACGCCTTGTCTCTGAGCCTGCTAGGCTTTGCTGAGGAGGCTCAAACCTGCCCATGCAAATATGCTGGCACAGCCTCTGTAGCCATAAGTGACAAGGCTGCTTCGAATTTCTGTGTTTTCCTTTTACCCGAATTTTATGATTCACACAGTACTCACATGTGCTGTCATTAATGGGGTGGTGTCTGTGGAACACGCGTTACCTGGTATTTCACTTTTGATGAACAGAAATATGAAAGCACTGCAAAGAAAACATATTAAGGTTCATCATAACACTTTCTCATATCAAGCTCCTGATTTTTAAGAGAAAGCTCAGTGTAAATCATCAGATGTCCCAGTGATATGCTTACTTCCAAGTTGCCTCTTCTGTGGTCCTGCCACTTCTTCCCAACTGCCACTCTCTTTGATTTCTCTTGGTAACAACATATTAAAGGTTAAACTTGTGATCTTTTCCCTCAAATTTGATCTTTCTCCTGCTAATCTTGTTGTACTTTTTTTTTTCATTCTGTGTTATCTTTGGTATCACACTGTACACACAATAAAAGTAAGAACTACATTGAAATAATATTTTTCATGCATTGTACCAATAAAACCCAAAAGTTTAACAATGCTTAGCTGGACAAATTGTAGGGAACAGGCAGTCTTATATAACACTGACGTAAGTGCAGAAGTGCACACCTCCAAAGAGGAGAATTGGAGGTTATCTTCCAAATCCACAGGTGAGTCTACTTCTGCCCTTACAATCCTGCTCAAGGCCCTCCAACACAGGTACACACTCAGGTGAAATGACATAGATGCTCATAAAATGGAATACTATGCAGCTACAAAAAAGGGTTGAGGATGGTCTCTATGCTCTAATATTGAAAGATCTCCAGGGTGTATTTTAAGAGATTAAAAACAATCATCAAAGTCCCATGACTTTTCTCCTTCAACATCTCTTTCATAATCTACTATGTTCCCAGGTCCAGTATCTTTACAGCAAATGCTTCACTTACTATCAGCTGTTGAACCATGTAAATATGGTAGAATGTGCAAAAATATTGAATTAAGAAAATAACTTTATTATGCCTTGGATATTCCTTTTAAAATACTTTTTAACATGTGTGCATGGTTCAAGAGCTAAAATGAAGTTTTCAAAGCACATTTGAGGCTGAAATATGTAAGCACTAAGTGTGGGCAGTGAGCACTATAGGCTAGTTAGCTTCCTCGGTTCAGTCTCTTAGTTTTAAAACTTGAATGGTCGCTCATTCCCTCTCCCGTGAAATTTCACCTTCCATTTTAGTTTTCATTCCTGTCCGCATTGTGTGCCATCTGGCCCATATCAGCATAACTCCCCATATGCAATTCGTCTCTGGCCACTCCCTGCTCCAAGCTACTCCTCCCCTGCCCCCACCCGATCCTTCACACCACCTGCTCTTGCTTTGTAAAATTTTCTAGGAGGATATACTACATACTCTTGTAGTAAGTGAAGAAGAACAGGAATGCTGAGTTTGAGAAAAGTACACCCACCACAGGCCAGTCCTCACTCAACTGTCCCCATCCCTGAATCCTCAGAGTACGGAGAAAAGTAGATGCACAATCCAGACCATTTACCACAATTCCATGTAAGCTTTGTTTCTAAAGACTTTCTAATTCAACTGAAGAGAGGAATCACATCTTATGTCTTCTTCAGAATTCTCAGAATACTTAACACTCAGTAAAACTGAATGCATAAAACCTAATTATTGAGCCAAGCATGGTGGTGCACATCTTTAATCCCAGCACTCAGGAGGTTTACAGGCAGGCAGGTTGTGAGTTCAAGGCCAGTGGATCCAGTCTCCAAAAAGAAACCCCAAATAACTAAAACAATAATTGTATGCATATATGTAAATGAGTTAAATATATATGTATGTAGGTGTATATGTTTGTGTGTTTTTAATTGGCAGGGCTAATATTAGGCATTGAAATTGTATTTTCCTCTCAAAATTATATAATGAAAATCCTCTACCTTGTATAGACCTGTGTGTTTTCCTAATAAATAATACAGAATAGCATGTTAGAAATACTTGAAGACTACAGACAATTCCTTGATTTTTTTTTCCTGAACAACTCTATGACACTCCAATGAACTTCTTAATCTTTCTGAGCCTTGACATTTTTCATCTACAAAATAGGGATATTCCCTTGTCAGAGAGCTGTGATGAAAATTAAGTGGTGATGTGAATGCAATTCTCAGTGTTCTCTTTTTTTTTCTTCTGTTTTGTTTGTTTGTTTTGAAACAGGGCCTCACTATGTAGTTCAGGCTGGCCTAGAACTCACAATCTTCCTGCCTCAGCCTCCTGGGTCCTGGGATTATAACTGTGTGTAACATGATGCCTGGTACACAGAGTGTACTTTTTGTGTGTGTGTGTGTAGTAGGACAGGGATTTGAACTCAGGGCTTAATACTTGTGAAGCAGGTGCTCTACCACTTGAGCCACACCACCAGTTTGTCAGAGTGCTTTTTGAGGTATAGACTCTGAGAAGCTCAATAATAGAAGTACAATGCGCTATGGCAGTCTGGGGACATTTGTTCTAACTAGGAACAAGGAAGTCACATGGGATGGTAAGGGATGGTAGTCTCAACTGGTAGTAAGAGTGGCCATGGCTGGGTTTGGTGACAGGTGCCTGGAATCCCAGCCAGCACTTGGGAGGTAAAGGCAGGAAGATTGTGAGTTTGAGGCTAGCCTGGGCTACATAGTGAGCCCCTGTTTCAAAAAAATTAAAATACAATAAAAAAGAAAGGAAAGGGCTTTGGGGTCTGAGAGAAGTGTCTGGGGTCTGGTGTGATAAATAATCCTGGGTTTATGATTGCACAAAACAGGCAGAAAGGTGAAATCTGTCCTGAAAGAATCCCTAGAGATTTTATGTGTATACTCTGCGGGCCAAGCTACATTTCAGAGGCGGGTTTATTCTCAATCCAATGGGAGGCCTCCAAAGGTTTCAACAGGGCAGTGATGGGGAAAGCTGTTCTAACAAAGGAAAGAATGAAATCAGGGAAACTGGGAGTGAGATCTTCAAAACTTTGAATCAGTGGGTGGTGACAGATCAAGGAAAAGGGAAGGAAGAAAGAACTTGTGAAACATTCAGAAAGAATTCTGCAGAGTTAAATGGAGGGTTAAGGCATTAAGGTGAAAAAATGAAAGATGACTGAGGTTTTGAATTGGAAGAAGGATGGCTAATACCTTGTACGGAGAGAGGGAACTCAGGAAGAGGAGCCCATTTGCAGAGAAGGGGACATTAAGAAAAGTAATGCTGGTTTGAAGTGCTGAAGACAGAGTGAAAGGACCTCACAGTCTAGTGCCAGAAGCACTAGAAGTGTAGGGTCCCTTCTGTGTGGCATCCCACCTGAGATCGTAAGAGGCCATCTAGCCTGGTCTACAGGTAGACACAAGCCAAGGTTTGGGTTTCCCCTCAAAGTGAACTAAGAACTGAGGCTGGGGGAATACCACAGTACTCCAGAAAGAGCAAGCACAAAGCTCAGATTCCACAGTAATCCGCAGCACATTCTATTGTTATTTTAACCCTGGAACTCTGCCTCCTGCATCTCCATTTAAACCAGTGTCCTAGATTTTGTTTCTTGCTGTGAGACCTACCTCACTTTTACATATTTTATCCTGAACTCATGCCAAGAAGACTGAAAAGTCTGTTTTCCAAATTCTATTGGCAGCAAGCTCTGCTAGTGGGAGGTGCATGTGTAAGACTCGAAGGTGGAGGGTGGGGTGTCCAGTGGTTTTGCAGCAGCCCTAGCCAGGGGCAGAGGCAATGGTGCCAGCATGCTGGCTGGCTGGAGTGTGGGTTCCAGTTTATGGGACAGTGCTGTGAAATGACAGATTCCTGGAATTTATTCCAACAGAGAAACATATTTGGAAGCCCCACGGGAAGACATTGTCGCACTTCCCTGCCACTGAACCACCTCTGAACAAAGTGAAAAATTTCTCAGGTACATTGACTAGTTTAACATAAAGATGAGAACAAGTGCCCAAAGGGGAAACAGTAGTTGAATGAAAATGATTAATGGCCCCCAAAGCCCATGTATGAAGGGCCAGGTGACCACCGATGATGCTGTGAAGAGGTGGTGGCACCTCTAAAAGGTGGGACCCAATGGGAAGAAGTTAGGTCTTGGGGGTGTGCCCTTGAAGAGGCTATTAGGACCGGGTCACTTCCTCTCTTGCTCTTTCATTGTTGTGAGGCCAGCAGGTTTGTTCTACCATGTATTCCTGCCACAGGCCACAAAGAAATGGGCTAACATGCCATGAACTGAAATCTCCAAATCCAAGAGCCAAAATAAATCTTTTCTTTTTCTAAGTTATCTCAAGTATTTGTTAGAGGAACATTAAGATAAGTTATAGTTAATAAAAGTAATCACTATAATGAAGACTAGAATGAAGACCTGATATATGGATCATTAACTATGTGCCTACCCCCCTACATTTTATTTCATTTAATCCTCAAATTATATTTGAGATTGGTGCTATTATTATTCCCTCTTAGGGATGAAGAATCCAAGGATTGAAGAGACTGAAGAAATTAAGTGTTTTACCCGAGGTCACGTGGGAAGAAGTGGTCCAACATGAATAACTGATTTGTAATTTTAAAGAATATACTCTTTTAAAGGAAGTAAAATATAGAGAAAATAATGCTTAATGAATTGGGTCAACTGGACTTGACTGCCATTTAGTTGAAATTAAGGCACACTACATTTTAATTTTGAGTCTAAAGAAATTGTTTTTTGAGAGAGCTATTCAAAGCTAGAATTCTGAATAAATTGTACAAAATACATAAAATTGTCTCTAGCCAAAAAAGTGTCAAGAATTTACTATTTTAGAATAAGCTATGTTATTTCTTCTCCAGTTGCCCTGGGACTATGCTTTAAGGCAGCATTTCAATGACAAAGAGATTGTTCCTGAATGTGGCTAAGGAAAAACCATCATTGCTGGAGGAAGGGAAATAATCTGTTCTTTCCTGAAGAATGAAAATGTACTAAAATCTTTCTAAGCAGTGCTATTCGTTATGTGAAGTACAACAGGGAATATAAATGGAGTTCACAGACGATAGGGGACATAATTTAAGGTGACCTAATTTTGACTAGGCATCACCATCTTAGAGATTTATCATTTCTGTTCTCAGTCATACAATGCATACATCTAGACACAGATACATTAAAAAGCATATGTGTTTTCACAAGTGAGAGAGTGCTTACAGCTCGCTAAGGAAAATGGGCTAAAAGGCAGGGAAATAGAAACTGGTGACAGAAGAGTACAATAGTCCCCACCTGCATTGCTCTGAGTAGTGCGCTGAAATCTCATGCTGTCTCATCCTGTGAGGTCTGGGGCAGGAATGCTTCCTTTGTCCAGCGTATCTATGCAGTATTCACCACCTGTCCATCAGTCACTTGGGAGTGGCATTATAGGGCCGCTTTTAAGCATTTTATTCAATAGTGACCCCAAAGCACGAGGCAATGATGCTGGCAAATCAGGTATGTCAAAGAGGAGCTGTGAAGTAATTCCCTTAAGTGAAAACTTGAATATTTTTAACTTTGAAGGAAAAAATGTATAATTGTGTGGTGACGTTGCTAAGATCTATAGTAAGAACAAATCTATCTGTGAAACTGTGAATAAGAAAAGGAAATGTATGCTAGTTTGTTGTGGCATGTCACATTGCAAAAGTACAGCCAGAGTGTGCAGTAAGTGCTTAGTATAGATGGAAAAGGCATTAAATTACAGGATTATGTGCTATCTGCAGTTTCAGGCATCCATGGTGGGGGGGGCATGGAATAAGGGAAAATTATTGCATTAATAAATAAGAGAATCAGTGGCTATTGATACCCAGAAACCTGCATAGCATTTATTTGTATGGTGTTTTAGTAAGCATAATAATATATACTGAATCTAATTTATGATATACATTTTATGATCTTCTAAATATCATAAAAAATGAGAACTGAAGTCAGAGCTCCTAGTCCCTTATCTAGTACTAAAACAGATCATAGATGTCACAGTAAATTGAGAATCTGAGGAAAAATCATATAGATTTAAGATGTAGGTTTAAAAAATGTGAACACATCAGGATCTTTAAAAGAGACTTTGAATGTTTGGGAGAAGAGCCAAAACAGTGCATATGGCATTAGAAACTGCTACATCAGAATGATACCTTACGACTGACAGCCCAGCTCCAATGTAATTCAGCAGCGGTTTCGGTACTTCTTCTGCATCCATTCCAAACCAGCCAAATCTGGAATTTCAGAAAGTCACCTCAAATCAGACATTGTTGGAATATTTTATCCTAACGTGTAGGAGCATTGACAGGGGCCAGACTCCTGGGTTCAAACTCTACTTCTCACGCTTACTAACTATAACTTTGGATAAGTCACTGTTCTTTATTGTGCCTCACATTTCCATGTTTAATGGTGGAAACACTTGCTGCACACATAGCACATGCCTGTAATCCTAACATATGGGAAGCCATACAGGAGGATCTTGAGTTGAAGGCCATCTTGGGGTACACAGCAAGATCCTGCTTCAGCAACAACAAAAGGCAGGGATAATTATACCTATCTAACAGGCTTGTTACAAATATTAAATGGGTTAGCACATGTAAGAATGTTTACTGTGAGTGTCCCATTTCTAGTAAGACTAACAGAGAAAAATTATATTTCAAATGGCTAAGCAGGGTCTCTTAGATGTTAGACAAGTGCTCTACCAACGAGCTACAGACTCAGTCTTCCTATAGAAATGTAATTTCTTAGTTAGAAATTCCTATTCTTTACTGACCCTTTAAATTTTTGTTTGCATACTGTGACAATTAGGAAAAAAACCAATGAAAACACTCCAGGGGCAAGAGGTAGGGGCAGGGAGAGAAGGTACTGCATTTGTAAAAAGCAGAGGATGAATGGGAAAGGACAGGACAGTGTGTATGTACTGGAGTTACAAAGTGAGTTTGCTTTGTTGTTTTGAGGCAGTTACAATGCTTTTGAATGGAAGGGGAGGAAGCCCAGAAAGTATGTGAGAGTGGGATTCGCGATCTACTCATTTCCTCAGCTTGACTCGAGTGTTCAGGTAATGCTGACCCAGGGCGGCAGACTCAGCAGATCTTTCTTGATGATGAACAGAGAGTTCTACATCTATGCCACAGGATGAGCACTTGAAATGTGCTGTGTATTTAACTGTGTTAACTTTCAATTAATTCAAGTTTCAATGTAAAAGACACCTGTGGCTTGTGGCTACTCTATTGTACAACCATGGAACTGGGGTTGCCAAACTTTTCTTTAAAGGGTTGAGAGTAAGTATTTTAGATTTTTGGGTCTGATGTTCTCTTAAAACTACTCGGTTCTAATGTTGTAATGTAAAAGAAGCGTCGGATGATACTTGAATGGTCGGGTACAGCTGCGCACCAATAAAAGTTCATGGAAATGCAGGAAACCTGGGTCACAGATTGCCAACCCTGCTCTAAGGACGAGTATGTGTTTTAAAGTGAGAGGACTGAGTTCAAATCCTGCCTTATTGGCTCTGTGACCTTCAACAATTCAACCTCAGCAATGTTTACTTTGTACACTTGTGTACACGTCCATGTATATGACATGTCAAGTAAACTGTCACACAATAGAACAGAAAGTAGACATCAGCTCCCTTTCACTCTCCCTACTTTGTTTCCGATGTATAATTCTTCACAATATTTTTGTTTTATTTTGATCATTTTTTTTCATTAGTATACATTAGTTGAACAGAGGGATCCACTGTGATATTTACAGACATGGTTACAATACATCTTAATTAGATTCACTCCTCCATCATGCTCCCTCATTTCCTTGCCCTCCTAGAACAATTTCATTGTCCTATTTTCATACATGAATACAAAATACTTCCACCTAGTTGTCTCCTTCACCCTTTCCTTATTCCCTTTCCCACTCCCCTATTACCCACTCCCAGAAAGGATCTATTCTTACCTTCCTGTCCTTCAGTTTTTTCAAAGTGTATATTGATAGTCCAATGGGGTTTGTCTTGGCATTTCAAACATGTATATATCATGCTTTAATCAGATTACTCTCCATTACATTTTTGCTTTATCTTGATGAAACATTTAAATGACTTATGAAGAACTCAAGACAAATAAGCATGGCCAATGTTTTACCAACTGTAATCTCTGTGAAAGTGAGCATCATTATTCCTTTCGGCAGGCCAAGTCTTGACACCTGCCTTACACTGAGTGTGGGCAGGGAAATGCTGAAATGGTTTGACCTTCATTACCTGGAGCTCGCCCAGCCTGTCAAGGCGTTGAGTGATCCCCAGATAAGGATTCCAAGGCCTAGGCCAATGGTTTTGATGATTGGAACAACAGCAATATTCCCTGTCAATACAGAAGAAATTGTTATTTCTAACACAGAAAATGCATTTATAAATTAAAATAGTGTTCATTCTAACTTGAACTGAAACTCATGGGATCTGGATACATTTAGTAAAGCATAATTTCTCATCTATTAAATAAAATAAGCACTTTTAGCACTAAATTTATGATTATGATTGCTAAAAGAAACGGTGCTAGGTAAAAATCCTTTAAGGAAAGATGCTGAATTAGCTCTTTGTCTAACGGTACTGATGTTCTTCATCCTTAACACAGGTCTCTATTCCAGAAACTGTCAATGACAAAATTTATGGTAACCATCCTTTTAGACTCAAACTGGGGTCAACAACTGGCCAGGAGTCTTTGGTCCCAATATGACCTCAGAATTCATTCTCCAAGCTCATTTGTCTTCCAGATTTCCACAATCATTGTCATGTGCTCTTGAGGCCAAAACTAGGACGGTTTTAAAAGTTGTTATTATTACTGAAGCAGGGTCTTGTTATGCTACCCAGTTTGGCTTTGAACTCCTGGTTCAAGTGATCCTCCTGCTTCAGTCTCCCCAGCAGCTGGGACTACAGGTGTGTACCACGATACCAGCCTGGCCTCAGTCCTGCAGTCTCCTTTTGGAAGGGTAGTTTCGTCTTTGGACTTCTAAGATGCCTTTGTGTCCTGATTCTCTAGCTCTTTTTCTGGCTGCTCCTTTTCATTACACTTTCTGGATTTAAGTGCCTCCTAAAAATTCTCTTGAGCATACTCTTCTTCTTGCTATTCTTCTTTGTGTACTTGACCTAATTTCATGATTTCAGTTGTCAACTGGGGGCACCTGCTTCCAATGCTGCAGCTCCAGCCTGGATTTGCCCAACTTTTAATGTTATGCTCCAAACTGCTAACAAGAAATCTGCAATGTCCTCCACAGTGGTGACGTTAGGACTTTAAACTCAGAAGGTTTCAAGATGAAGTCACCACTTTCCCTTCCAAAAGCCTTCTTTTCCTGGTTTCCTCAGCGTGTCAATACCACAGTCCTCTTCCTCATCTAAAGTGAGGTCTGTATACCATCAGTTCCTCCCTTTCTTCTGTGCCTCATATCCTGTCACTTGCTGTGACCTCTGGTGTCCATGTCCGCAGCAGTTCTCAAGTTAGGCTCTTACCCCAGACTCCCAGTGAACCTGTTGGGTGAATATGCACACCGTGGTGGCTATTAATCTGTGCAGGATGAACCATGTTTGGTGGTACAGGCTTGTAATGCCCACAATCCAGAGGTGGAGGCAGGAAAATCTTGTGTAAATTCTAGCGGGAACTTAAAACTCAACTTGATCTTCAACTCATGATCTTCACTAAATCATTTTATTCCTCAAAGATTCTAATTAAGTCAGCAACCAGTCAGCTTTTTAAAAACATTTTTAAATGTATTTGCTTTAAACAAACTATGTCTAAAGATGCTTGTACTTGGAATTGTCTTTGTCAAAAAGAAAAATTCTTCAGGGTGAATCTCTGTCTAGAAGGGAACCATTTCTGATTGGCCAAACAAAGGTATATGTTGTAGTTATATAATTTCAGGTATTGATAAAGTAACTGGGGATTTTTGTTTATTTTGTTTTTCTGTTAATTAATGCTTTTGAAATGATTATGTGTATCTGCAAGCTGACTTTTAAGATAAATCCTAAAAAATGACATTAGTGAAGACTATTATTTAATAAACATTTTATGATAAAACATTTTTACTATGATAGTTTTCTACCAGGAACTTAGAGTGAAGTCATTAAAAGGAACAAATCAAGAAATGTACCAAAACCATGTACTGAATGTCTGAAAGGAAGAAGCTAATAGTTAATTTCTATTATCTAAGACTAAGTCAGAATCACTGTGCTATTTCTTCCTGTTATGAATGAAACTTATGTTGATCATTAAATGATTACATAAGAAGTTATATCATACATCACCTGTTGCCCAAATGCAGCCCCCAACCATGGCAAAAGGCCAGAACTTAGGGCAATGTAGTACTAGGTTAACTACCAGGGCAACCAGCCACACAGCAGCACAGAGCACCCACTGGAGAAACATTCCTGGAAACAGAATAACATGGGGTAGTGGGTCAAATGGATTTGAATAAACCCATGCTTAGTAACAGCCATGAGATAATGTCAGAGGAATGGCTACATGCCTGCACACCAGGTGCCTTGCACACTTCATTCTTACAACTATTCTGCATCAGAATCAACCCTAACTCAAAGACAGAGAAAATGAATCTAAGACTAAGCAGCTTGTTCAAATAGCTAGTAGTTCGTAGAACTGGAATTTAAAACCTGCTTGTTTGACTTCAAAGCCTTGACCCAGTATGTTGCTGCTTAACAATCTTTCCTTTCACCTCTTAGGAAAAAAAAAGAATTTTCTATCAAAGAGTGCTGGCAAGACCAAGCCTGTTTCCATTCAGATGGCACATGAAATTCCATCCTTCACCAAAAACATGCATTAGGAACCTCAGAAGGGCACACAGGGACTTCAATTTTCAGGGATCATTTAGGTCACCGGAAGTGAGCCAGACTTTTCAAACCTGAGAAGTAGTCTGCCAAGTAAGAGCTACTCTACTTTCATGCTCTGAGCTGCTGTCTTCCAGATATGTGAAGATTACTTGATGATCTCAAGTGTATCCCTACCTGCCTCAGGCTTCTGCACATCAATGCCATACAGATTAAAAAGATAAAGAAATAGCATTGCAAGAAAAACAAATAGTTACACTCTAGCTGTCACTTCTGACTCTAACTTTGGAAGATTTCTGTCTATTTTTATTCACTCTATTCATTTCTCAGGAAAGAAAAAAATGGTGGCCATCCTCTAAGACAGAAAAATGGTGTTATACAGAGGAAAGGGAGCTTCATTTTCTAAGTGAAAAATAGAAAACAAAACTGTTGATAAGACTCTCCTAGACCTGGGGCGTAGGTCAGTGGTACAGAGTACTATGTGTGAGGCCCTGGGTTCAAATTCCAACTCACACAGATTTGTACAAGATCACAAAGCTACTTTTGAAAGGCCAAAAAGTTAGGGCTTCTGCCTTTTTGTGTGGTTTTTCTCCCTGTTTCTGTTCCTGTTTCAAGTCCAAGAGAAAAGAGAAGAAAAGATTTGTAATCCTATTGGCTAAGTAATATAAAGACATAAAGAATTAGAAAGGTAAACATTACTGGGGAAGTTATTTCTCAGCAAGTACTCACCTAGGAGCTCCAATTTCTTCTCCTGGCTTGCACATGGAGGGCAAGTAGATTAAAAGTAATTCTTGGTTTTCTTTCCCTAGAAGTCACCTCACACTCAGTTTTGCTATTCCTTCCAGAGGAATCTTTTCAGATTCCCAGTCTCTATGCAATTCACGGGAACTTGAGATCCATGACAAAAAGCATTTCTAGGGATTCTCACAAAAAGGAGAGTCTCACAAGGTGGAACTTGAGCAGGATTATTTTAGTAAAATAGGATAAAGTAGGAAGAAAGAGGAAAAGAAGGATAAAAACATCTCCTGCTTCACATGTAGCAGACAGGAGTGAAGAAATCTCAAAATGGTGGTATTTATCCATTTTGAATTCTCATCTACACATGAGGTCATATCACTTACCAAATCCTAATTATTTTTTGGTTTTTAATGGATTCAATAAGTTTAGGATTACCTAAAACATAGCTAAGATGGATCTTATTATTACTTAAAATATGGAGACAAGTGGCCTAGGCTTACCCAGAACACAAGGACAAACAAGTATAATTTTTGGCATTTATCAGACATGTCCTTTTGGCTTTTATCAGACATGTCTTATAATTGTAAGAGTTTTCCTTTTCTGACTAACTCTCAGACTATCAAATGATTTGTGAGCTCTATTCATTAGGCACCAGAATCAACAAAACTTACTTTTGCAAGCTATCATTTTAAAAAGACAAAAAAACTAAAGACATTAAAAGATAATTTTAAGTTAACAATAAAGGGAAAATAATTACCATCACCAGTATCATATTTTTTAAGCGGCACAAAGTTTGAGCCAAACAAAAGTACTGCTACAGAAGAGGAGAGGTAGCCAGTGGCTAGGCCTGTCCCATTACTGCTCATGGTTCCAGAGGGTCAGCTGTTTCACATTAGGCAGGACACACTTTTCAAGAGTCTCTGAAATAAAAGAAATGAACACAGAACAGCTGAGAAGTTGTAACTCTGTGAATGAATTTTCATCATACATAGTATTTATCACAAGTATGTTAAGAGTCCTTCTTGCAGATAGTTAAGACTTTATGCAATTATATATTATGTTTGTACTCAATGTTCATTTATTTTTCCATTTATTCTACTAACAAATAGTCTGTATCATTACCTTACAATTAAAAACATTTTTCTTTTTGAAACTTGAAAATCTAACTTCTTCAAAGATCTGGATCCAATTTTTATTACATTATAAAAAATACTCCTCTGTGAAGTGGATGTTATATGAAAAGATGTCTGGACTTGGCTTTGTTTACTTCAATTGGTTGTTGTGTCAATCAAATTCAAAGGCACCTGCAAAGACTTTCAGACTATTAAGTGCTTTCCAAGCAAAAATTTTGTTATATTTAGACATGAGCTGAAGGGCACATTTAGGCTATATTGATGCTATGAACTCAGAATCCCCTGGAGGTAAAGGCATTTTTCTTCTAATAAAAAATACATCCATAGAAGGTGTTAGTTTAAATAGTTCACAAATCTTGACTGGCAGTGTAGCTCAGTGGTAGAGTAAATGATTAGTGTGTGTGAGGTCCTGGATTCGATCCTCAGCACCATAAATAAATAGCTCATAATCTCTATATGATGTTTTTTTTAAAAAAACAAGGACAGAATCCATGAATCTTGTGGAGTCAAACATCAACAGTGGTCTGTTGTGCAGTGCCACCAGCCTGCAGAGCAGTGTGAGGCACTGGTTAGAACTCTGTGTTGTTCTATCCGGAACCAGGATCACGAGCCACATATGGATAACTAATCTTTCATTAAAATTAATCAAACCAAGTAAAAGAGAGAATTCAGTTCCTCAGCCATGTTAACTATGTTTCAAGAGGTCAATAGCCATGGGTTCAGTAGCTGCCATACCGGACTGCAGATTCTAAAACTTTCCATCACAGCAGAGCGTTTTATTGGACAGCAATGCCGCGCTTATTACAACGTTCAGGTTTCCCTGTGAACACCCAAACCACTGATAACCAAGGGTCAGATATTTTTCACAGGACAACCTTGGGAAAAGGCCACTGAACACAATTCGTGTTTTCAGTTGCCTAGTTACATGAAAGGGGCAAAAAAAAAGCAAAAGTAATTTTATTATGGACTTTCTATACTATTTTGGATTTATATTTTGTACATTAACCCTTTGGAATAACCTCTCTGAAACAGAATTAGGATAATGCAGTCTTCTTTTTTCCTCTACATTTAATGTTACAGTTATAGTAGATGTGTACTGAATAAATTACCCCTGAAATCACCTTTGCTTGTTATTGTATTTCGCACTGATAAATATTTAAAAACCCTATGTATTCTTGCAGAGAATGCTAAATATAAACTGTCTACAAAACATCTCGACACTTACAATTTAACTTCAAACAGGAATAACTTCAAAATAAACTTTAGTAAAGACAATAGCTATTTGATATTGTATGTAGTTTCTTTAAAACAAGAACTCACTGCAGGGATACAGCTGAGGAAGAGACACCTGAGGCATAATTAAAACGTTACCACACTAGTGTTATTCCATATAAATGGTGTTTTCCTGGTAGGCTCTAGCACCTTTTAAAGCCCACAGCGGTGGGATTAGTCATCTAGGCTCAAGTAGGTAGAGTTGCTAGGATAAGATATCAAGCCTGGCATAGTGGCAAAAGGCCATAGAAGCAGGAAGACCTCGAGTTCAAGTCCAGCCTGGGCTACATAGTGAGACCCTGGGCTACACAGTGAGACCCTGCCTCAAAAACAAAAAGCAAACGCAAACAAGCCACACAAAAAAGACACAACAAAAGAGCTGCAAAAGGTCAGAGAGGCAGGAGTTACCTGGGAAAGCTATCATGGGACCCAAGAGACAGGATTAGTTGTAAACTAATCATTTTTTCCCCCATTTTAATGAAAAAGCAAGCAAAGCAAAACCAGAGCTTGCCTAACCTTCAAAAGAACCACAACACATTTTAGGGAAAAGGAAGGCTCTGGTTAAGAATGTTGGCGAACAGCTCCACAGACATCACCCTGGATTGAAGTCATTTGAAGTGCTACTCTGAGAACTGAACCGCATTGACCTCCCTTGGTTATTCCCTGCAGATAAACCAGGTTTATGGCTACAGCTCGGTACATTTCAAAAGCACGTGATCGACTTCAGTGTGTACTGGCAAAAGGGACCATCTGTAAGGAAGCGTTGATCTCTTTCTAAATTGAGATTTTTGTGGCAAAGAAAAGCATGATCTCGTACCTAGCACATCATCCCACTTCTTTTCAGCACAAACCTAAGGCTCAACTACTATTTTTAAATGTTATTGTTTTTCTTTCTTCTTAAAACATTTTTTACACTTATTTTTAATTGTTACACAAACATAAAAAGTATACACACTGATCAGGTGACGTGACGTGACGTGTTGGCACAGATATACTTCGCGTAACGTTTAAATCAGGTTTACCCTATACCCATTTCCTCAAACTTTTGTCACTTCTCCACGGTGCTTTGAAATTCTTCTGTTTAAAAGTTTTAAGTAAAGCCAAACATCTGCTGGCGTTTTCCCTACTGATTCAACTTCCAAGCGGCGACGTCCCCCACCCCTGCGTCCTTTCAATTCGTATTTGGGGAGCGGGATCAGCGCTGCCGGTTCTACTTCAAACACTGCGGTTTTGGTTTCGTGTTAATTTTCTCAACCCTCCAGCTGACCTGGGCTGAGTCTTGGCTAGAGTCGGGGTCTTGAAGGTCTACCCTCGGAGCCCGGAGTTTTCTTTGTAAGGATCGGCGCGTTTTTGAAGGGTCCCTAGCGCTCCCGCCAGGTGTCCCCGCGGGTCCGCACTCACCGCGCACTGCGCTGCGCTGCGCCCCGGCGCTCCGCGTCTTCCGTCCGCGGTCCCTGCGCGCCCTGGCCCGGACTCCGCCCAGCAGGCAGCAAGGCCTGTCAGTCAAGGCCAACAGGAAGGCTGGTGTGTTTAAAGAAGTGATTGTTCAGGGAGCAAGCGGCACATTGTCCTCTTTAGTGTCACAGCATGTCCCTGGGATTTATGGGTAAAACAAAAGGCTGCGGAACTTCACACAAGGGAAAAGAGTACCCCAAACCGACTTTTCCATTTCACTCCCAGCACTAATTTTATAAACGCATCTTTCTAAATGCATTCAGAGAGCTTATGTATGTATTGATCTAATAGGTTGCCAGTGGGAACAAAACTTCTTGCAGTTGGCTCTGCTGTGAAGCCAGGCTTGAGCATAATATTCTAGATCAATACTTGTCACATTTCATTGCCTGTAAGAATCACACAGAGCCTGGCACTGTGGCTCATGCCTCTAATGCTGTCTCTCTCTCTGTGTGTGTGTGTGTGTGTGTGTGTGTGTGTGATTTTAAAGATCACAGTTCGAGGCCAGCCACAGGCAAAAGTTAATGCGATCCCATCTCAGGTGGATCATGATGGGTCATAACACAAAACCCAAATAAGTCAAAATCACCAGAAGAATGAGTTAAAACGGTAGGTTCCTGACATGTTGACTTAGATTTTCAGAAATACTCTTCTAGTTCTCACTGCCCAATATGTAACCAACAGCAGGATGTGATTATTTACCTTAAATCAGAAAATAATTAAATTAAAAAATTTGGCAGTTCCCCGCACATAGCATAGTCATTACCACTGCAGAAAGCTCCAGGCTGCTTCCCGTGGGAGCGCAGCGATGTCTGAGAAAATGTTCTACCTTTGACGTTCCAGTAGCCCAGGACACAGACGTGCACTTTAAGTTCAAAACCAGAAAACGTTAGGCTCTGTCCTGAGTTTGAGGAGGGCCTCTTCAAGAAAAGACATTAAATTAAGACCATCTAGTGGTTAGTAATGGCTGTGACGTTCACAAGGAGAAACACCTGGGAAGCCTGGTGAACGATGGGGTTTCCCAGAAGGACATTTTGTTTTATTTCAACGGTATTTATGTTCATAAGATAAGCAGATGATGAGGCTAAATATCATTTCATTTAAGGAATTAAAGAAGCTAAGAAGCCTTTTCACTTAAGGGAAATGATTAATTTAGCATTTTAGAAAGCTCTCAAAGGAAGGAGTTCTGTTGGCCACACATACGTGATTACACAGGCCTATCTGTGTTTATTGTACTTGGCTCTACTGCATTTCATGATTATTATATTTTTAGTCTTATTTACTTGTGTATTTGTGAACTGAAGGTTTGTAGCAACCCCACATTAAGTCTCTTAGCCATTTTCCCAAAGCACTTGCTCACTTAGTGATGTTGCATATTTATTTCTCACGGTAGTTCCAATTTTTTCATTATTATTACTCTGTTACAATAGCTAGTGATCCTTTTATGTTAATGTTGTAATGGTTTTGGGGTATCATAAACATTAAGACAGGAATATTTCTTCTTTCATTGCTGGGAATCAAACCCAGATCCTTGTGCATGGTAGATGATCACACAATCACTGAGCTGAACTGCAGCCCCAGACAGGGAACTTTATCAACAAGTGTGTGTTCTGACTGCTCCATTGTAGTTTGGCTACGCTGGCTGCTCTAGAGCCTCCCAGTTTCTTGAGACACAGTATTGACTTAGGCCAGCTACTAAGTCTACAATAGCCTGTAAGGGTTCAAGTGACTGTCTCTCACTTTCCATCAGAAACTTGGAATGATTTAGCTTAGTGAGGTAGACATGTTGAAAGATCTGACAGGCTGAAAGTGAGGCCTTTTGTGCCAAGCAGTTAGCCAAGTGGTGAATGCAAAGTGGAATGACCTTAAAACACTACTCCATTTGTAGCTCTTTTTTTCCCACAAGTGTATATTCAGATCATTTGCCTGTTTTTCAATTGGATTACTTTTTTAAAGTACTTTATATATTCTGGATATTAACTCCGTGTCAGATGAAAAGTTGATAATTA